AACGGATCAATATCTTTGATCAGATCAGCACTATACCAGCGTTCACATTAGTATAGCGTCCCCAAAAAAACGCAACATTAGTGGGATCATCCCCGGCACCTGCGTTTAGCCCCTACGCTTACCCCCCCCTTTTCCCCCAGCGAGTGCAGTGTCAGTAGGTCACTGTCACTTGATACATTGTACACAAAACCGCAGGTTGGCAAAATCAGGCCTGATCTCTGTTAGCACTTGCCGGTAAATTTCGATGACTCTCATATGCAGCAAGTGCCAGTACTAGTGCCGTGCTACCTTTTGGTGAACTGGCGAGCACCAGCAGTCTAGTACATCCTGGTCTTTCACATAACTCTTATATTGTAAGCTCCCAGGATCAGGCCCTCCTAACCCTCTTGTATTGAACTGTATTGTTGCTGCATTGTCTTCCGTTATATTGTAAAGTGCTGAGAAAACTGTTGGCGCTATATAAATCCTGTATAATAATACTAGCACTGCAGTATGACTTGGTGACATGGCGAGTCCCATAAGTGCAGTACAAGCTGGTGCGGTAGCGAGCACAAGTATTGTCCCGCAACCACCAAAAATTTGCACACAGGCCCATAGAGCTCCTAGTATTCTTCCGATTGGCAACCCACAAATTCTGCAGCACCCGTACTTCCCCCATTCACTGCCCAACCCGGAATTCAGGTGGAAATAGCAAACTTAACTACTCCCCTTGATTTTTTGGAGCTGTTTTTCACGGAAGATCTCTATGCATTGACTGTGGATCAAAGCATTTTATATGCACAACAATGTATCGCCGCCAACCAAAATTCAAACCTTGCCAGACCATTTGTATGGAAACCCAGTACGGTTTTCGAATTTATATTTTTTTTGGGGCCTAACCCTCAACATGGGCATTACTAAATAAAAATGAATTTCGGTTGTATTGGTCCACAGACCCAATTCATGCCCGTGTGCTCTGCTGCCATGGCCAGGCATAGATATGATAGTATAATGTGTTTTATGCATTTCAACAACAATACACTCTGTCTTCCGCGAGGTGACCCTGAATTTGACCGGCTACACAAAATTTAGCCCCTCGCAAATCACCTTAAATAAACATTTGCAGATGTCTATACCCCCAGCATAAAATCTGCGTTGATGAGTCCCTTTTTAATTTTTCTAGCCGCTTTGCATTCAAACAATTTCTCCCCAGCAAGCATGCCCGATATGGGGTCAAGATGTCAAGACCTGTGAGAGGACAACAGGCTATACTTATAAGTTTCGGATTTATGAGGGAATAGATAGTCATGTGGAGCCCCCCGGATGCCCAGACTACATGGGGAGTAGTGGCAAGTTTAGTTTGGGACTTGGTGTCATCCTTTTTCCATATGGGGTACCACTTATACGTGGACAATTTTTATTCAAGCATGCTACTATTTAGACATTTGTACAATCTTGAAACTGGCGCATGTGGCAAAGTGTGATCTAATGTGTGCCCACCATTAGAAGTGGGTGAATGCAGGGCGGTATATTTTAATGGTGGGCATACCACACACTTTTTGATTTGGGAAAGATTTCTTCTCTTTTTTCATTCAGTCCACATGATGCATACAAAAAAAAAAGAAAAGAACATAGCATATAAACCCAACAAGGACCAGCAACGTACTGGTACATCACTGGACTTTGAATGGTTATACCAGGATGATGCCTACAGCTGCAGGCATCATCCTGGTATCATTTTTTTCAGCTGGTGATCTGATTTCATGTAAAAGCAATCCTAGTGGCTAATTAGCTGCAGGATTTCTTTTACAAGCAGCAGGAGACAATGCCCCCCTCCCCCACTGCCTTCCACGGCCTTCTCGGGCAGTCTCGTGCCATCGGGGGAACCTGAGAATGCAGCTGGTTTTTCTGCCAGCTGACCATAGAGCTGATTGGATATTTGCATTCCCTGTGATAGCATTAAAAGTGATAAAAAAGAGACAGTGTTTAATTTAAAAAGTCAAAATAACTTAAAAAAAAAAAAAAAAAAAAAAAAGTACCCTCACCCCACCCCCCCCCGCGCACGTGCGCACCTGAGTGTGTGAGCCTTGACCCTGTGCCATTATGGAAACAGCAGTTGCGCCATGCATGTGAGGCATCGCCACGAATGTCAGATCAATTGCAGTAGTTCTAGCACTAGACCTCCTTTGTATATCTAAAATGATAGCTTGTAAAGGCTTTTAAAAATTCGCCATTATACTCGCCATTATATACTCGCACGGGCATGCAGTTTTAAAGCATGCCATGTTTGGTATCTCTTTACTCGGCATACCATCATCTTTTATATTTTACCAAATAATTGGCCATTATATTGTGTTTTTTGTGCATTAAAAGTAAAAAAAGTGTATTTAAAAAAAAAATTGCGTTTGAAAAAAGTACTATGTGGCATAAAAAAATTGAAGCACCCATAATTTTATTCACTAGGTTGTTTGCTTTAATAAAAATATAATGTTTGGGGTTTAAATTAATTTCCTAGCAAAAAATACTGATTTTTTTCATGTGAAAAAAAAGTGTCAGAAAAGGCTTGATCTTAAGGTGATTAGAAGAGTGAATGATGTGTGGCATAAACTTCTAATGCTGGGCATAAATGCCCCCACCCCCCAAAACTACCCCTTTTTGGAAAGTAGATACCCCAAACTATTTGCTGAGAAGCATGTTGAATCAATAGAAGAATTTATTTTTTTACCACAAGTTTTTTGCAAAATGACAAACAAAAAAGTTTTTGGTTTTTTTACACAAAATTGTCATTTAAATGATTTATTGCTCACACATGTCATGGGTATATGTAGAATTACTCCCCAATATACATTCTACTACTTCTCTCGAGTATGGGGGTACCACACGTGAGAGACGTTTTGGCAGTCTAGCCAAGTACAGGACCCCAAAATCCAATAAGCACCTTCAGGCTTTTAAAGGGCTTTATTTCCTCATTACACTTCCAGGCTACCTATCACAGTTTCAGCCCTGCCAGGATAACACCCCCCCCCCCCCCATGACCCCTTTTTGGAAAATAGACACCTCAAGGAATTTGATAAGAAGCATGGTGAGTATTTTGCAGATCTCGTTTGTTGCCACAAGTTTTTGGAAAATGAAGAAAGAAAACAAAAAACATTTTTTCTTTTCTTTTTTAATATTTCCAAACCTTGTGAGTAAAAAGGAGATCTGCAAAATACTCACTATGCCTCTTTTTAAATTCCATGGGGTGTCTACTTTCCAAAAAGCAGTCATTTGGGGGGGGGCTTAGGTGCTATCCTGGCATTTCAGGGCCTCCGAAACTGTGATAGGTAGTGAAGGAGTGAAATGAGGAAGTTACGCACCTTCGGGCTTTCAAAGTGGTCATTGGATTTCAGGCTCCTGTATGTGGCTAGGCTCCCAAAAAGTCTCACACATGTGGTATACCCATACTCGGTAGAAGTAGCAGAATGTATTTTAGGGTGTAATTCCACATATGCCCATGGCTTGTACGAGAAATATATAATTTAAATGACAACTTTGTGTAAAAAAAAAAAACATTTTTGTAATTTTCCAGAAACGTGTGGAAAAAAAATAAATCTTCCATGAATTCAATATGCCTCTCAACAGATAGCTTAGGGTGTCTACTTTCCGAAAAGGGGTCATTTTGATGTGTTTGTACTATCCTGGTATTTTAGCACCTCAAGAAATGTGATGAGCAGTCAGAAAGTAAAAGCTGTGTAAATTCCATTATCTATACCATAGTTTGTAGACGCTATAACTTTCACACAAAGCAATAAATTTACACTTCTTGGGATTTTTTTAACCAAAAACATGTAGCAGAATACATTTTGGCCTAAATTCATGATGAAATTTTAGGGTTTTTTGGATATTTTTTATGACAGAAATGAGAAAATATTGTTTTTTCAAAAAAAAAATTTTGTCAAAATTTTTTTGTTTATAGCAACAAAAATAAAAAGTGCACAGGTGATCAAATACCACCAAAAGAAAGCTCTATTTGTGTGAAAAAAGGACATAAATTTCATTTATGTACCATATTGCATGACTGCACAATTGTCAGTTAAACTAGCACAGCGCTGTATAGCAAAATAAATGGCATAAATTGCAGTATCTATACCATAGTTTGTAGACGCTATAGGTTTCATGCAAATCAATCAATATACACTTATTGGGATTTTGTACCAAAAACATGTAGCAGAATACATTTTGGTCTAAATTTATAACTAACTTTAAGTTTACTATAGATTTTTTATAGCCGAAAGTAAAAAATATTGTTTTTCTTCAAAAGTTTCAGTCTTTTTTTGTTTATAGCGCGAAACATAAAAAGCGCACAGGTGATCAAATACCACCAAAAGAAAGCTCTATTTGTGTGAAAAAAAAGACGTAAATTTTGTTTGGGTACAGCATTGCATGACCGCACAATAATCAGTTGAATTAGTGCAGCGCCGAGTAGCAAAAGGAGGCCTGGTCATTAAGGGGGTAAATCCTCTAGAGGGCAAGTGGTTAACAACGTCAACATTAACATTTGGTCAAAGAAAGAATTGAAAATGACAAAACCTGTGTACAGTTCCTTAAAAAATGGTTTAAAAGTAAACTATTAGAGCACGGTCTAGAAAGGAGTCACAGTAAGCATCAGGATGGACAGCGCTCGGTTTAAAAATTGATAGGTGGAGATGGAAATGGGAGAGGCCTTAACTACCAGATTTTAACAGATATTTCAGTTTACCGTATTTTTTCGCTCCATAAGATGCACCTGACCATAAGACGGACCTAGGTTTTAGAGGAGAAAAAGTAGAAAAAAAAATATTCTGAACCAATGGACTGCGACACAGTACAGGAGATGACCAGAGACTGCGGACACAGTACAGGGGATGACCAGAGACTGCGGACACAGTACAGGATATGATCAGATCAGAGACTGCAGACACAGTACAGGAGATGACCAGAGACTGCGGACACAGTACAGGGGATGACCAGAGACTGCGGACACAGTACAGGATATGATCAGAGACTGCGGACACAGTATAGGAGATGACCAGAGACTGCGGACATAGTACAGGAGATGACCAGAGACTGCGGACAAAGTACAGGGGATGACAGAGACTGCGGACTGCGGACACAGTACAAGAGATGACCAGAGACTGCGGACACAGTACAAGAGATGACCAGAGACTGCGGACATAGTACAGGAGATGACCAGAGTCTGCGGACACAGTACAGGATATGATCAGAGACTGCGGACACAGTACAGGAGATGACCAGAGACTGCGGACACAGTACAGGAGATGACCAGAGACTGCGGACACAGTACAGGAGATGACCAGAGACTGCGGACATAGTACAGGAGATGACCAGAGTCTGCGGACACAGTACAGGATATGATTAGAGACTGCGGACACAGTACAGGAGATGACCAGAGACTGCGGACACAGTACAGGGGATGACCAGAGACTGCGGACACAGTACAGGTGACCAGAGACTGTGGACACAGTACAGGAGATGAGTGTGACAGCCGGGTGCCCACTGCGCATGTCCGACAAGCGCTGCGCTTTGTGAATGGCTCGGCGTCTTGTGGGACACGACAGGTCCCAGAAGACGCCAGGCCATTCACAAAGTGCAGCGCTTCTCGCGCATGCGTAGTGAGCACCGGGCTGTCACAGCGGGATGCCCACACTAAAGATGCCGGTGCGGGAAGACTGTACAGCGCTGGACCGAGGAAACACGTAAGGTCCTGCTGCAGGGAAGAGCTGAGCGGCCAGCCTGGTATTCTGACACGGTGTCGGTGGCGGAAATACCGGACCAGCCGCTTCATATTCACTCCATAAGACGCACTGACATTTTCCCCCCTTTTTTGGGGGAAAAAAGTGCATCTTATGGAGCAAAAAATACGTTAAGTGGAGGATACAGAATTAATTGGAGGGTAACTAAATAGCAATATAGTTTGATATTGCTGGGTATATTGGAAACACTTCATTACAGACTGTTAGGTACCAACTGGTAGGGTTTAGACAAAGGTTTCCCAAACGTTAAAACATTTTTTGACCTGTGATTCTTGGCTTAATCGCTTGCCAACGTATGGGTTGCTCTGGCTGTACTAACAAAGGGGAACCGGGCACCCGAGCAGGCGCGCAGCGCTCCCCACGCATGACCTCTGTGTAAATGAAGATCCCAGTGGACGGGACCTGGAGATCATGTGATCGCTACTCTATCTGGTGAGCTGTGATTAGCCCACAGCTCTCACATGATACATGGGGTCAATCACAGCACCCTGTACCATGTGACCAGCTGTAGCCAATCACAGATCACTATTATATTGAATTGTCATGAACTTAATTTATTCATGACAGTTCAAAGCAAGCTTTGCATTGCAGAGCAGAAAACTTAATTTGCTCCTGCCAAGCAAAGTGTAAAATAATACTGTATTAAGAATTAAAAAAAAAAGATATTTAAGGTTTTTTTTTTTTTTTTAACTACTTGCAGACTGCTTGCCCACATTGTGTGGGTGAGCAGCGGCTCTGTGAAAAAACAACGTAACCTTATGTCGCTTTCGATTTTGGATTGTGAAAGCGTCTGCGTCCCCCACTGCCCCTCCTGTCGGTCCAGGGAGAGAAGAGAGAACACCGCACTGTAAGTAAAAGCACTACATTTTACACAAACATGTTAGATTAGCACATTTAACACTTTGATCGCCCCTAATAACCCTTTGATCACCCGTCACCCAGCCAGTGCCATCAGTACAAAGTCAGTATATACACCCTGTTCCAAATTATTATGCAAATTCTATTTAAGTGTCACAAAGATTAAATATTTTGTTTTTTCAGTTTAACTCATGGATGGCATTGTGTGTCAGGGCTCTTTTGATCACTGAAAACAATCTCGGACACCTGTGATAATTAGATTGGCCGGTGAGCCCAATTTAAGGAAAAACTACTAAAGGAGGGTGTTCCACAACCAAGAGATCAGCTGCTAAAATACCATTACATAGCAGCAAACATATATTTGAAGCTGCTGGTGCCTCTGGAGTCCCACGGACATCAAGGTGTAGAGTCCTCCAGAGTCTTGCAACTGTGCATAAACCTTCTATTCGGCCACCACTAACCAATGCTCACAAGCAAAAACGGCTGCATTGGGCAGAAAAATACATGAAGACTAATTTTTAAACAGTCCTGTTCACTGATGAGTGCTGTGCAACCCTGGATGGTCCAGATGGATGGAGTAGTGGATGGATGGTGGACGGCCACCCTGTTCCAACAAGTCTGCAACATCAGCAAGGCGGTGGTGGAGTCCATGTTTTGGGCTGGAATCATGGGAACAGAGCTGGTCGGCCCCTTTGGGGACCCTGAAGGTGTAAAGATGACCTCTGCAAAGTATGTGGAGTTTATGACTGACCACTTTCTTCCCTGGTACAGAAGGAAGAACTATGCTTTCCGTAATAAATCATCTTCATGCATGACAGTGCACCATCTCATGCTGCAAAAATACCTCTTCATCAATGGTTGCTATGGGGATAAAAGGAGAGAAAGTCATGGTGTGGCCTCGATCCTCCCCTGACCTCAATCCTATTGAGAATCTTTGGAGCATCCTCAAGCAAAAGATCTATGAGGGTGGGAGGCAGTTTACATCCAAACAGCAGCTCTGGGAGGCTATTCTGACATCTTGCAAACAAATTCAAGCAGAAACTGTCCAAAAACTCACAAGTTCAATGGATGCAAGACTTGTGAAGCTGCTATCAAATGAGGGGTCCTATGTTAAAATGTTTAAAAAGTTAAAATGTTGTTAAAAGTTTGATTGAAATAGCTTTTGATTTCAGTAAATATGCTGCAAACACAACAAATTACAATTTTCAGTTCTTTACAACCTATAAAGTGTTTTGAAACTTACTGTGCTTAATAATTTGGAACAGTGCATTGTAAGTTTTTTATGTTTAAAAAAAATACTGTTATCATTAGGAGGTTTGTTCAATAAAATTTGAATTGTACTCTTAATAGTTGATAACATGAGAATTATGCTGACTGTTATTTACATCAATTATTTAGGTAAATGAGAAAAATATCATTTGCATAATAATTTGGAACAGGGTGTAGAATTTTTTCAATAATCACTGTATTACTGCCACTAGCAACATCAGATAACATCAGGGTCTGTAAGCGCCCCTCCCAGCCAGGGTCAGCTAGTGTTAGATTGCCCTCACAATATCGCACTACACACTATAGGTCGCTGATCACCCCCATTGCTAACATAGTGTTTGTACAGATCAATATATTGATCACGAACAGAACTATACTAGTGCCTTCTTTGTGTCCCTAAAATGTAGTGTTAGCAGGATCATTCCCTGTCAGCACTAGTGTTTAGCCCCTCTGCTGTTTTTCACAGAAGACTTGTATCAATTGATTTGTGGGCCAACACAACAATACATCAGACAATGGGCATTGCAAAAGAGAATGCATTGCGGTCATATTGATCCACAGGCCTAATTCGTCTCTCAGTGACGTACTAGCACATTGCTGGTCCATGTTGGACATATACGTCCAACATGGACCAGCAATGTGCTGGTACGTCACTGGACTTTGAGTGGTTATACCAGGATGATGCAGCTACAGGCATCATCCTGGTATCGTTTTTTTTCAGCTGGTGGCCGGCTTTTATGTAAAAGCAATCCCAGTGGCTAATTAGCTGCTAAATCATTTTTATAAGCAGCAATATAAGGGACTTTCCCCATCCCTGCCACCCTCCATGGCATTCTTGGGCTCTCCCGTCACACAAGGAAATCTGGGAATGCATCTGGCAGTTCTGCCAGCTGACCATAGAGCTGACCAGAGACCAGAATGGCTCCAATTAGATCTATGGTCTAAGAAACCGGAAGCTACGAGCATTTCATAATTTCTGTTTCGCAGGATATTAACACCATCATTTTTAAATTAGGAAAGCATCTGATTACACTGATCTTGATGTGATCAGATGCTTTAAGGGCAGAGGAGAGATCTAGAGCCCAATAGACTCCAGATTTATCAGAAAAGAGTACCTGTTATTGCCTATCGCTATCACAGGGGATATTTACATTCCCTGTGATAACAATAAAAGTGATCAACAATAAAAGTGAAAAGAAAGGGACAGTGTAGAAAAAAAAAATCACCCTTCCCGTGCTCATGCACAAAGGCAAACGCAGAAATTGTACCATACATGTGAGGTATCACTGCACACGTCATATCGAGGGCAGTAATTCTAGCACTAGACCTGTGTAAATATAAAGTGGTGACCTGTAAAGACTTTTAAACCTTCGTCTAATGATAATAAAAATGTACGTAGCTTGTCGCCGTTGCACGGGCATGTGCACTTTTGAAGCATGTCTTGTTTGGTATCTATCTTTCATATTCATCTGTCTTTCATCGTCTTTTATACTTTATCAAACAATTTGGCAATATATTGTGTTTTTGTGCATTAAGATTAAATGTTTTTAAAAAAAATGTGCGTTTGAAAAATTGCTGCGCAAATACTGTGTGACATAAAAAAATTCAACACCCACTGTTGTATTTTCTAGGGCCATTGCTTTAAAACATTAAATAATGTTTGGGGGGTTCAAAGTCATTTTTTAGCAAAAAAAAATTTTCTTCATGTAAGCAAAAAGTGTTGTTCTTCAAGTGGTTGGAAGAGTGGGTGAAGTGTGGCATAAGCTTCAAATGTTGGCCCTGAAATGCCAGGATAGTAGATGCTCCCCCCCCCAAATGATCCCTTTTTGGAAGGCAGACACTCCTAAGTATTTGCAAAGGAGCATGGTGAGTATTTGCAGATCTCATTTGTTGCCACAAGTTTTTGGAAAATGAAGAAAGAAACAAAAATGTATTTTTTATTTTCTTTCTTTCTTTTTCAAAACTCTGTGACAAAAATTACCATGCCTAAAATACAATGCCTCTTATCAAATTCCTTGGGTTGTCTACTTTCCAAAAAGGGGTCATTTGGGGGGGGGGGGGGGGGTTGTATCCTGGCATTTTAGGGCCTCAAAACTGTGATAGGTAGTGAGGAAGTGATATGAGAAAATAAAACCTTTGAAAGCCTGAATGTGATCATTGGATTTTTGGGTCCAGTATGTGGATAGGCTGCCAAAAAGTTACATAGTTAGTCTGGCTGAAAAAAGACAAAAGTCCATTCAGTTCAACCACAAAAAAAAAAAAAAAAACTTATAATCCTACACCCACAGTTGGTCCAGAGGAAGGTAAAAAAAAAACCCCAGCAAAGCATGATCCAATTTGCTTCTGCATGGGGAACAAAATTCCTTCCTGATCCCCTGAGAGGCAATCAGATATTCCCTGGATCAACTTTACCTATAAATGTTAGTATCCAGTTATATTCTGTGTATCCAAGAAAGAATCCAGGCCTTTTTTAAAGCAATCCACTGAGCTGGCCAGAACAAACTCCTGAAGGAGTCTATTCCACATTTTCACAGCTCTTACTGTGAAGAAACCTTTTTGTGTTTGGAGATTACATTTCTTTTCCTCCAGACGTAAGGAGTGCCCCCTTGTCCTCTGTGATGATCTCAGTGTGAATAACTCTACACCGAGTTCACTATATGCACCACTGATGTATTTATACATGTTAATCATATCCTCCCTTAATCTCCTCTTCTCAAAAGAGAATACATTCAGTTCCTCTAATCTTTCCTCATAGCTGAGCTCCTCCATGCCTCTTATCTGTTTGGTTGCTCTGTACTTTCTCCAGTTCCCCAATGTT